AAAAAAAAAAAAAAAAAAAAAAAAGTAAAACAAAAATGCAGAAACTGATCCTCGAGGGAAATCTAAAAACCCTAGAAAAATAATAGAGTGACGACAAATTGCATTTCATTATTCATTTACAACCCAGAAAGTAAATTTCAGAAGCCCCCAACAAGAATCTATTACAACTAAACCGAACATCCCAATAACCGAAGACTCCATTCGAGACAAGGAGAGAAAGGAGATGTACCTTAAGATTGCCATTGAAAGACTGAGCTGCTGTTGACATGTTAATTCGGTGACAGTTAGGAAGCTGCTGGCAACACCAGAATTTGGGATTTCTCCGAATTTTGGCTGTGTTAAAACATAAACCCTTGGGAGGTGCGTTTGTGTGAGAGCGCTGATAGCATGTTAGTGTAGTGTTTGCAACTTGTAACTTGTTTGGATTATTTGGATAGTTTATATGCTTTGGCTCGTTTACCAGGGTGAATGTAATCCCATCACCTTTACACATCACTATATAATATCATGTTTACAAAACTTGATACATATTAAATCTCTTCTAATCCAACATTTACTAGGCATGATAAAATTATACTTGTGTAAATAAAATGACATATTTGCCCTTCTCCACACTAAAATTTTCTGTTCTAATCGAGTTTCACAACAATGAAGAAGAGCCATGCTCATTACAATAATAGGACCTTGCTTACTTCAAAGTAGTACCAAAAATCAAAAAAGAAAACCTAAAACCTACCCGTCTAGTTTCGGCCGGGCAAGGAGAGAAGAGACCGAGCACGTCGATAAGGCGGACGATTTTAAGAAACTGACAAATAATTAAAAAAAATTAATCGAATTAACAGTTCAAAACCTACGGTGGCGAGCGATTAACCGGAAATGGAGAGAAGACACCCGAGAAAGGCGACTGGCGACGAAGCTGTACACCTCGCGTTTGGGCTTTGACAAGAAACCTAGAACCAATTCGTATATATATTTCCTATATCTGTAGATAATTAGACATTAGAGGGTATAATGGACATTCTTGGCCGACCTTTTTGGACAAAATTGTCTCTTGCAAAGTTGGGACAAAAAAATCCGGCCATAATGTTGGTACAATATTAACTAGCCAGTCGTGCAAAAACAGGTGGGACCCACGTGACACATTATTGCCACATTGGTTTTTTCTGTATCACAATCCAGGCTTGTAAACGTTAGATTAGGTTGATTAAAGGTGGTAATCTCATCCTATCCGCTCTAGCAAACGAGGCCTTTATGTATCCTAGTATGTGGTCCATGTCGAGAACAATATTATGAATGTATTATAAATTTTACTAGTACGAATCCTGTACGATGCATGAATAAGAGATATTAATTAATATTTATAAATTAAAAATTTTCATTAAATAACATTTATAAATTAGAAACATGGAATCAACGTGTAATACAATCAAAATTACTTAAAAATGTCTATCTAAAATTAGTACGCATCTCGTGCGTTGCACATAACCGATAATAAATTACATTATAGGCGGATCCAGGATGATTACATGATGGGGGCACCGTATAATTAACACCGCGTCGTCGCCTCGCTCTCAAGCTTAATGTATCTTTTTCTTTTTCTTTTTTTTTAATATATGTATTCATATATTGACGGAATGGTCTGAGGCCACTATA